GGTGGGGGAGGGGGGAGGACAATAGGTCCGCCCCCCCTTATTGTAATTTATGTCTTTTTTTTCCAACAGTGAGCAGCCACAGGCTGCTCACTGTTTAGTAGACATGCCCCTACTCGCGGTATAGTGAGTAGGGGCATTTGGGAGATTTAAATCTCTCTTGTGCTATTATGGGGGTCATATTGACCCCCATAGAGTGAGAGGGGTACTGGGGGGCTTATGAAGTGGTGGGGAGCACTGCTCCCTGCCGCTTCTATAGTTACATATTACAAGGAGGGAGCTGCACGCCGGTAGCTCCCTCCTTGTAATAAACTGCACGAACAAACATACACTGATACATTGTGTTTGTTTGTTCGGCTGATCTTTCTATTCACTCATTCGTCTGTCTGATGAATGAATAGATGAAATTCCCGTTCGCATGTCCAGGTGTTTCACTGGGCATGTGCGGGAATCTCAGTGTCTGCCTAGTGTGGGCTGATGACGTGTCCCACAGGGACTTCACCTACCCACACAAAGATGGCGGCGCCCTGAATCAAGATCGGGGCAGAAAATAAGGATTAAAAAATAGGTAATGTGGGGGGCTTAGGGGCATTTGGGGGTGACTAGTGGGTCAATTGGATGTAGTGGAGGCGGGAGGGGGGTTAAAAAAAAAAAACGGGTTTCGGCATGACAGTGCCGCTTTAACTTATCTCATTATCTCCCAGGCAGAGGAAGGGAGGGATTTACTGCAAATCTGTACTATGATTGGTTGTCGCTTTTGTTTACTGTGGGAGGTCCTCTTGCAGGTGGATTTCCATGAAAGCCAGTGTGGCATCAATAACACATTATTTCCTGTTGTACCCTTCAGGAAGTCTAGGCTCATGCTTGGGTAACCTTTTAATTGCTGGGAAGAATTGTCTTGGAAGCTGCATTCAACTCTACTCTTCCTCTACACCCTAACTGTAGCTATATTCACTTATGCCCAGCTATTGGGAAAGGAATAGAAGAACTCAGTACCATAACCACTGAGGTTCTTAACAGGGGTCTTCCAACCTTCTTCTCACTCCATCCTGGCCTCTATCCCGATCCTGGGCAGGTGCTGCCCTCATGCATGCTTTAAATCTTCCCAGAAGTTGGAGGCACTGCAACCCATGGCCAGCTGCATCAGTCGGGTTGCACAAAAAGTGAAAGCGCATCCGCCATCTTGAGGTTGTCTGCCTCGATGAGAACTAGTATGGAATCAGCAGTGTGGATTAGTAGCAGGTACATAGAACTAGTCAGTGGGGAATGTGATAAAACCCGCCAGTCCAGGGGGGAGGGACAGCTTAGTATGAGGATCACTCCTCCACCTGTCGTAGAAAGCTTGAACTTGTGTAGGCCCCAGGTTGCGGTGCAGACGATCCGGTGATGGGGAGTCTCATGTTAGGTGTAACGGAGTCTTACCTGATAGGGAGTCCAGCTCGCAGAGTTATACGCTCACCCTTGCAAAGTAGACACAGACCAGGGTGACCAGGTAAGACGCCACCTGGCCTGTGAGTCTGTGCACGGGGGCTTTCCAGGAAAGGTGCTCCAAGACTCAGTACAGCAGGGATAAGCAGAAGCGTGGTCAAGGGAAGCCAAAATCAGGGAAGCCAGAGGTCAGAGTAGTCCAGGAGGAAAGCCAAGGTCAGAAGCCGGAAAGACAAGAATCACTGGAACGCAGGTACGGAGTAACAGGAACCAAACAAGAGAACCAGAGTCAATGAACTGACACCCCTCCCAGGGTGAGGCAGGCTTTTATATCCTGTTAATTAGGATCAGATTCAGCTGGAGAGTTACTGACAGATCAGAGCCTTTGGTGAAGTCCAGCCCCCTGGTGCTGCAGGCAATACAAGAATAAACAGGGAGTTATCCAAAGTCCTGAAATGGCTCAGAGGAAGAACAGCAGGATATGGTCCAGAAGAACCACAGTTCAAATCCCCCATCGGGCGCTTCCAGAGCGACCACGTCTGGCAGACTGGATGTCACGGCGTGGACCGTGACAGTACCCCCCCGTCAAGAACGCCCTCCGGGCGTGAACAGGCTCTTCCTGGAAATGGTACTCTTCATCATCAGTATCACTAAGATAGTCTTTGTAATCAAAGTCTACAGACTGGGACTTTATGGTACCAGTTTCGGGTGCTATAGGGGAGGCATTTGCAGCTTTCAAAGCTTTTTCGAATATTTCTAGGTCTTGTTTACACACAACTGTGCCATTTGAGGCATAGGTGCAGTCAGGAGGCAGAACTGTCTTGGCAAGGCAGGAAGTGGTGATGGTGCTTGCTTGTACAGAAGTGTTATCAGGAAGAGGTCCAAATTTTTCTAGAGCAAGAGGTGAAGTTTCCACAGAGGTACTGGTAACATTAACGGTATTGGTTTGGGTACCCTTTTGTGTCACAGGACGGGGACAGTTCTGGCAGTGTCCAGGCTGTCTTGCTGGGATGACAGGGTAAGTCCATATAGCACCAGACAGAAGGGGTCTTGGCCTAGGTGGACGAGTCGGGCAAAGCAATATGAAATGCCCTCTTTTCCCACAGTATAGACATAGACCATGGGCTCTCCTGCGGTCTTTTTCCTTAGGGGACAATCTAGTCCTGGTGAAGCCAATCTCCATGGGTTCCTCCATGTCGACTGGAGTTTCACTGCTAGCTCGAGTGTAAACAGGGTTACAAGGCGGGTCCCTGAAAGTGGGTTCATGCTGCAACATGATGGGATTTTTGTATCCATAAAACAATTCCTCTTCTCTAGGCAACCGGGTTCTGCGAGGACCTGAAATGGGTTTGGAAGTTGCTTTTCTTGCTGCAAAACACTGAGAATCCATTGCGGACATAAACAACTCCCAGGAATCCAAGACAGTACTTCTCTCCTGCAACTTCTGGTGTGCCCACGCCTTAATTCGCCCGGTACATAGGTTAATAGCGGAGCGTACTTTGATAAAGTCGGTGGCGTAGGTTCTCGATTTCAGGGCAAATAGTAGCTCACAATCCGTCTTGAACATCGGAAAAGCAGAACGGGAACCGTCGAACCTGTCAGGCATAAAGACATACGGTTCTGGGCATACATGTTCCGGGACTGCAAGCGTTGCTCCTTTCAATGCCAATGAATGTCTCTGCAATTCTGTAACATTCTGGGACAGGTTGGAGACTTGCTCGGCCAGGGAGGTGAGTAACTTGTATAACTCTGCAGACTCCATTGGTCAGTTCATCTGTAACGGAGTCTTACCTGATAGGGAGTCCAGCTCGCAGAGTTATACGCTCACCCTTGCAAAGTAGACACAGACCAGGGTGACCAGGTAAGACGCCACCTGGCCTGTGAGTCTGTGCACGGGGGCTTTCCAGGAAAGGTGCTCCAAGACTCAGTACAGCAGGGATAAGCAGAAGCGTGGTCAAGGGAAGCCAAAATCAGGGAAGCCAGAGGTCAGAGTAGTCCAGGAGGAAAGCCAAGGTCAGAAGCCGGAATAGACAAGAATCACTGGAACGCAGGTACGGAGTAACAGGAACCAAACAAGAGAACCAGAGTCAATGAACTGACGCCCCTCCCAGGGTGAGGCAGGCTTTTATATCCTGTTAATTAGGATCAGATTCAGCTGGAGAGTTACTGACAGATCAGAGCCTTTGGTGAAGTCCAGCCCCCTGGTGCTGCAGGCAATACAAGAATAAACAGGGAGTTATCCAAAGTCCTGAAATGGCTCAGAGGAAGAACAGCAGGATATGGTCCAGAAGAACCACAGTTCAAATCCCCCATCGGGCGCTTCCAGAGCGACCACGTCTGGCAGACTGGATGTCACGGCGTGGACCGTGACATTAGGTATCCCCAGTAGCACTGAATTCCCCTGCATACTGTGGTCGCTGACTACAGTCAAGAAGAGTGAGTAATCAGGGGATAACTCACGTTTTTCTGTGCCAAACGCATGAGCTCTCACAGAGAGAGGCAGCTCTCTAATTAGGTGATTTAGACGGCCACCTAAGGCCTTGCATGGTCTGGGGCCTCGCAGCTGCCTAAATCGCCATAGGGAAGACTGAACTGTCAGGTTCTCGGTCTATAATCGAGGACCCGACACAGGAGGGGACCTGGCGGCTTGCCCTTTATGCCGCCGCGTGTGAGGCCCCTGGGGGAGAACGGCCTCAGTCTGCAGCTCTGCCGGGTGTGAGCTGCAGACTGAAGTGGCAATCTCCAGCCAATCAGAGTGTTGCTGGGGGTTACCACGGCAAAGCTCTGACTGGCAATCGCGAGACATTCACCATGTGGTCTGCAGCTCTGCATCCGGCAGAGCTGCAGACCAGAGAGCCCACTGGACCACCAGGGAATCGCTCCCCCCCCAAAAAAAGGTAAATTTCACCGTCATAAAACATAGCTTTGCCATAAACTCAGTGTCAGAGGCCACAGGCATTACACAAACATACACATGCTCAGAGAAACATACATACAGATACAAGGATACTCACTGCCAGACACACTCTCAGGCACCCGCAGGTAGACAATGCAATGATGTATACTGAGACTAGCTCTCTATATCTAGTACTTCAAGCTCCCCGTTCAATATATCTACAGCTTCTTATACACACACAAGTCAACTGCTATTTTTTTCAGTAATGGTGTAAGTGGGGGCATCATGTATGAGTTTCGCCTAAGGCCTCACCATGTCTAGAGCCGCCAGTGCTCACAGAGCACGTCTGGCAGGGCCGCCTACAGAAATTTTGGGGCCCCTGACAAAGCACAAGGTCTGGGCTCCTCCTCCTCCCCTCCCTCCCCCCCACCCGGCACGCCCACGAGTCCGCCCACAGGACTCCTACCTAGTCCGCTGCAAAAGATGCAGGACTAATGTGGTGTGTATTGTGGAAGTGAATTAGAATGTGTGTAATGGATATAGTGTTTGTGTGTATTAGATACTGTTTGTGCAGTGAATGCAGACTGTGTGTTTGTGTAGCAGATGCAGTGTGTATAGTGAACGCAGAGTGTGTTTGAGTAGTGGATGTAGTGTGTGTTTGTGTAGTGGATGTAGTGTTTGTGTGTACTAGATGCAATGTGTTTAGTGGATGCAGTGTCTGTAGTGGATGTAGTGTCTGTATTAGACGCAGTGTCTCTGTATAGTGAATATAATATAATGAATGTAGAGTGTTTGAATGTGTGGTGGATGTAGCGTGTGTACTGTGAATACAGGATGTTTGTGTAGTGGATGCTGTGTGTATAGTTAATGCAGAGTGTGTGTTAGTGTAGTGAATGCAGAGTGTGTGTTAGTGTAGTGAATGCAGAGTGTGTGTCAGTGTAGTGAATGCAGAGTGTGTGTTAGTGTAGTGAATGCAGTGTTTTAGTGTAATGAATGCAGAGTGTGTGTCAGTGTAGTGAATGCAGAGTGTGTGTTAGTGTAATGAATGCGGAGTGTGTGTTAGTGTAGTGAATGCAGCGTGTGTGTCAGTGCAATGAATGCAGCGTGTGTGTTAGTGCAATGAATGCGGAGTGTGTGTTAGTGTAGTGAATGCAGAGTGTGTGTTAGTGCAGTGAATGCAGAGTGTGTGTTAGTGTAGTGAATGCAGAGTGTGTGTTAGTGTAGTTAATGCAGTGTGTTAGTGTAGTGTATGCAGAGTGTGTGTGTGTTAGTGTAGTGTATGCATGTAGTGTAAATGGAGCATTCCCCCCCCCACCACTTTAAAAGTGAAAAATTTTATTCCCCCCTCCCTGGTTCTTAGGGAGGGGGGAGATTCCATGATCCCTGGTGGTCCGGTGGCATGGTGGGGCCCCCCGGCTCACTGTACTTGCAGACGGGGCCCAGCGGACTGCAAGTGTACTTGCAAGCTCTTCCCTCTCTGTAACTCCTGCGAACTGACAGCCGCGGGTCTCGCGGGAGTTACAGAGAGGGAAGAGCTTGTAAGTACACTTGCAGTCCGCTGGGCCCCCTCTGCAAGTATAGGGAGCAGAGGGATCGCTATATATATGTGCAGAGAGGCATGGTTGCCACCCCCTGATTGTGGCCCTGATGTCTGGCAGTCAAGCTCCGGACCCCCATTATCATGCATTAAAAGCTAGTGTAATATATACTCTCACATATACAGACAGACACACGTACAGCCAAACTAACAGACAATCTCAAAAATATGTACATGTTAACAGACCTGATAAATAAACATTATAAAAAACAATCTATTTCCCTTCAAAACTTGACGAAATTATTATTATTTTTAAAAAATAGTTTTGAATTAACAGTTGTAAGAAACGAAAATGCATAGTCATAAATATGTATACAGATGTGTGATTTCACACAAATTATTGATGAATTTCAGTTTCTTCTATGGAATTTTGGATCAGATAATTATGAACTTTTTTTTAACAAGATTTAAAAGAGGAAGTTTAACATAAAAGTGAACAAACCCTTTACACAAAGCATTTGTTCATTCACAAACTTGCACGCAATTTCAACTATGTGAAAGTCATTTACATCATCCGTCAACTGCTACGTTCTCAGAGAGACGCCACTTACCATAATATGACAGAAACATCAGCAGAATGTTTCATTCTATAGATTGCTTTATCTTTGTTCCAACATGCTTTGAGAATGTCTGAAGCAGGAGGAGCCAGGGGGTATTTGCAAACCCTAGGTATTGCAAATGGGGTATGTTCAGTCTTTTTTAGTAGCCACTCAGTCACAAAACACTAGCCAAAGTTAGCGTTTATATTTGTTTTTTGCATTTTTAACATACAAATAAATTTAAACGCTAATTTTGGCCAGTGTTTGTGGCTAAGTGGCTTCTAATACAAGTCTGGACATACCCCATATTGATTACCCTGGGTTGTCTACTTTTGCAAATGGTATGCCATCATGGGGGTAATTCTCATTCCTGGCTACGATTTAGTCTAAAAGGCAACATAACCAGCCTGGCAAATTTCAATGTGTATAAACTGAAAAATGAAACATGCTATATTTGACCCTGTAACTTTCCAAAACACCATAAAACCTGTACATGGGATGTACTATTGTACTCATAAGACTTTGCTGAATACAAATATGTGCATTTTATTTCAGTAAAAGCTAGCAGTATTATGACATTCACAGTTAAAATGCCACACAGAACTAAATTGTTCTTTTAAAAATCTTTATTTCTCACACTTTTTTAGATTTTATTCATAACGAATTATGTTTCATATATGAATCATTGATGTGAAATGAAAGCCCTGTTTCTCCTGAATAAAATGATATATGATATCATGCACTTAATATGAAAAAGGTGAATTATGGTTGAACAGATATAGCGCAAATTCCAGTTTTTGTTTACATTTTGTTTGGATCAAAACGTGTACAACTGGGTCAGTCCTTAAGGGGTTTAATTGCGATATCCCCTTTTATTGCTAGAAAAACTAAAAGTTCAGTTACAAAAATGATGTAGCTAAAGTAAGTATGCACCATCTAACGCCTATGTTTAAGTTTTTACTTGGTTTCTCCAGACATCTATCAAGATGGATTGACATGTTTTATTGCTGATAGTATAAAGTCTGAGCATGTAGTCTGGTGTATTTAGTCTATAAAATGAGAGGTCTATTTTTCTCCATGATGAAATCTTTTTTTGGCTGCAGACCAAGAGAG